TTAAACCTTTCTCTTTCCTCCCGGTGTTTTCCCCCCCCCCCCCCCGTGCTCCCCCTGGCACTATTACTGGCAATTACCAGCTGTCACAATCAATTGGGAATTGCTGTACATTTGACAGCCGTTCCTGCTATGTAATACAGCCACTCCTGTGCAGATAGTCATAGGCAAGTGTCATTGAATAAATATAATGTAACAGTATTATTTTATTGTATTTACTATTTCATTCATATATAGTGTAGATAAAATGTGTGACCATTGATCTGCATATGACATAAGTTTAAAGAAACCTTACACATTTAAAAAAAAAATCTAATAAATATGAATAATAAAATCTATTTCTAATTAACCCTTAACCAGCCCTAAATAAATTCTTCCTTCCCATCTCCCCTTAGCTATTTTCTGCTGATTTTTTTTCATGTCCATTTTTATATATCTATATATACAAACTGTATGTGTGTGTGTGTGTGTGTGTGTGTGTGTGTGTGTGTATAAATATATAAAATTTGTTTTGTTGTTTTTTTTTGTGTGGTTTTTTAAAATGCACAAAATTGGGGGGAAAGAACCCCTTTCTATGCAAATAACTTTACAGTGCTTTGTACCGGAAATATTATATTAGTGTCAGTTTAAATGGAACAAGTCTGCTGCATATACAGTAAACATTTTCGCACAACGTATAACAGTAGTTTAGGTTTTCGGAAAGTGGGGATGATATTCAAAATGGCCTTTAACTACTTAGACCACATACAGTATCAAAACATATTGGGGGACTAAACTCAGGAGTTAAATCTTAAAAATGCATTCAAGTACTCTAACTATTTACAAAAATGGATCTTATTTGTGTATCACTCGGCTGTAGATCCTCAAATCATCTCCGAATTGGTGCTGACACTGTCCTTCCTTCTGGAGGGTGGCTACTGTTGTTCCCCATGGTCCCTGTGTATGTTGTAAAGTAGTCACCGCTCCAAACTCACTCCTGTGATAGACTACAATCTCATGTTTGACTAATTTGTACTGAGATTGTAGTCCATCACAGGAGATTGTAGTCCATCAAAGTCCATCTTTTAGACCCCGAGTCACCTTTCCACCTCAATGGATTCAGCTGCTGAGGCAGTGGAATGTCAAAACAGCAGGCAGTGGCTTGAAGCAATAGCCAGCCTGTTATTGGCTATTTTAAATTGCAATAGCAGGGTGGCTATTGCACCCACCTGCGGTCAATCAGCAGAGGAGGGAACTGAAGGAGAAAGTTCTCCATCAGGTCCTCCTCTGCTGATTGACAGCAGACAGTGGATGGGTGCAATAGCCAGCCTGCTATTGGCTTTTGCATTTTAAAATATCCATAGCAGGCTGGCTATTGCTCCCAGCCTCTAGATACAGAGGAGGAACGGGCCGGCGAAGGACTGGGACAGTGACAGCAGCGGAGGGACGGGGGGGGGGGGGGGGGGGGGGGGGGGGGGGGGGGGGGGGGGGGGGGGGGGGGGGGGGGGGGGGGGGGGGGG